GTTGGGTTTGAAGGCGGCTCGGAAAAACAGGTTACAACTTGTTAACACCGGATTAAACAGTTTTAACTGCTGATAAAAGTGACAGAGGACACAGATATGGGAAGTGTGGAAGCCCCTACTGAAAATATCACCCTGTGGATAAACAGCATGCTGTTCATGAAGCTAGATATGTCCGTGAATGTTACTGAATGTACTTGAACACATCATGGTAGGTTGAGCCAGGTGACTCCCTGTAAATGAGGAAGGGAGGGGTTCATGAGGCTCATGTTTCACAGGTAGCACGTAGAGAAGAGAAACTGAAGAACGAGGGAATTAAATCAAGTCTCTTAGCGTTGAAGGTAAAAATCACTTTTTACTGAAACTTCTATGCAGCTCAGTGAGTTTTTCTCGAAGAAAAAAGAATCAGAACTTTTTGATTCTCTGACAGATTTTAGTTCCAGAATAACTTCCTGTTTACAGCGTTTGGTGTCGGCAGCTGTTACGCCCCCAAGGTCTAGGGGTCCAGGGGCAGTAACATAAAATGTGTCCAGAGCGACAGTGTAAAGTAAAAATGATTACAAAATAAAGTTTCACAAAACAATACAATTTAACCCAATTAATGCAAAAAGAAAGAGGGATTAACAAACTCAATAATGTCAGGAGCAAATTAAAGTTACAAAAAAAAAATCCAAACAAGTCAGTTTAAAGTAACTCAAAACAAACCACAAAAAAAAAACACATACAAAGGAGAGGCTGCGGGAAGCACGCAGCCTCCCAAACACAGGCTTCTAACTCATATTTAACTGGAGCAAAGTCAAAGTAACTAAACTGAACAAACAAAGACCAAGCTAGCTTAAAGTAGTTGCAACCACCAAAAAAAAAGAGAGGAGGCAGCTTCACAGAACCTCTTCAAATTAGCTGCCCCCCCTAGAGGAATGAATTCAGGAGCCTTTTATGGTGCAGGTGAGCCTCATCAACGTCTGATTGGCTTGACCATCCTCTGCTGGTCCAATGGTGCAGCTGCTCTTCTACAGCCTCCAGGCAGCCAATCAGGAAGGTGTGCTCTCACAGTTGAACCTGCATAATAAAAGGGAGCCTGCACAGCCTCAAGAGGCCAGGGGCCGTAACACTCTCCCCCTTAAATTACAAAACCATGTTTTGTAAATACTTAGTGCAAGAAAAAAAAACAACAAAAGAAGCATACTCACAACCTGGAAAGGCCATCTGCAAGAACATTTTCTGTTCCTTTCTTGTGTCGGATGTTGAGTTTGTATTCTTGTAGCAATAATGCCCACCGCATAAGGCGCTGATTGTGGTTGTACATGCGTGACAGAAATGCTAATGGATTATGATCAGTAAATACATCAATCGGCAAACTACTGGACCCAAGGTAAACATGGAAGTGCTGAAGAGCCAACAACAAAGCCAGGGTTTCTTTTTCAATGGTGGAATAACTTAGTTGATGCTTGTTAAACTTTCGGGAGAAGTAGCAAACAGGATGGTCTAAACCCTGCAAATCTTCCTGTATTAGCACCGCACCAGCCCCGACAGCGCTGGCATCCACCTCCAGTTTGAAAGGTCGGGTCAGATCAGGTGCAGCAAGTACTGGGGTGTGGCAAAGAAGAGATTTGGCCCTCTCAAAAGCATCTTGGCATTCATCTGACCAAACAAAGTCAGTCTTTGGGCTAAGTAGATTGGTTAACGGTTGAACTACTGAAAAGAAGTTTCTGCAAAAGTTCCGATAATAGTCAACCATGCCCAGAAATCTACGCAGCTCACGGCGTGTTTTGGGTGTGGGATACCCATTTATCGTCACAGTGTTACTATTGACAGGAGTAAGAAAAGGACTAGAACACATGGGATCAGTTCTTCCTCGACTACCAGCATTATTAAGCTCATCCACTTTTAGTGGAGTTCTCACTGCAACTCGAGCACAAACACCATTAGGTTTGGGTGCAGGTTTGGGTGCAGGTCGGGGGCGATATGACTGCTTAACTTTGCTTAACTGAGCTTCCTGCCAATGATGAAGACCATCGATGCTTAAGACACTTGGTTTCTTTTTATTGGCATGTTCAGCACTTACCACGTTCTTGTCACATCTTTGCAAGGTGTCATCCGCTGGAACAGCTGACAAATGTCTAGCTAGAGGGGCAGATGCTTTCTCCAAGAGTAGACCAGGCTCCTTCCACTCCACCAAATGCAGAAGTAACAGAATGCAGTTACTTTCAGTTTGCATAGCACCCCCACTAGAAAATGGAGACAAGACAGAATCAGAAATTGAAACATCAGAGTCTGAAGAGTGTGGGGTTGTCTGATTTAGAGGATTGTCTAAAACCTCCAGACTTGGAAGTACTAAACCTCCAGCAATGTCGTTCCCCATTAGTATGGCCACCCCATCTATGGGTAACTCTGGGCATACAGCAATAGGGAAACACCCGGTGACAAGTTTTGATTTTATATAAACTGTGGACTAGTCGTGGAGCATAGCCCATCTCTATCCCCCTCAGAACAGAGTTGTAACCACATGCACTCTCAGGCAAGAAAGGCAAAACACTTGAGAGAATGATTGATTGGGAACCTCCAGTGTCTCTTAAGATGCGGACTGGTTTTAAACCAGAGGGATCAGATGCAAGTGAGATCAAGCCATCAAAAATGAATGGTTCAAAACAAGGATCAGGTAATTTGTCACCACAACCAGTGCTCTTATTACGGGGTTCTTTTTTCACAAAACCAACACCTTTAATTTGTTCAGAATTTGGCTGTGACTTGCGTTTTAAAGCTAAACAATCAGCGATGACATGTCCAGGTTTGTGACAATAGAAACACTCACGGCTTTCCTTTGGAACTGTGGGTTTAACCAATGGAAAATATGGCACAGAGCTAACATGTGACTTTTCATTAACAATGAATGATGACTTATGGGTAAGCACATACTCATCGGCAAGAACAGCAGCAGATGCAAGAGTGGTCACCTTCTGTGCATTTAAATACACTACCCGATCAGGAATGCACTTTTTAAAGTCTTCCAACACTATTAGCTCACATAAGGTGTCATAATTGCTGACCTTCAATGCGGCACAGCGGTGTAATCAAAGATAATGCCCTTCTCTCTGGCAAACTCAACATGTGTTTGTCCTGTAGTTTTCTTTTGCTGTCGAAACTTCTGTCTATAAGCTTCTGGGACCAATTCATAAGCTTGTAAGACAGCAGCCTTAACCAGATCATAATCCAAGCTATCCTTTAACGGAAGCGCTGCCAACACCTCTTGAGCTTTACCAGAAAACTTACATTGTAACAAAAGAGGCCAGGTTTCCCTAGGCCATTGCAAAGCACCAGCAATGCATTCAAATGCTGCAAAGTATGAATCAACCTCAGATTCTCTGAAAGCAGGTACTAAAGAAATGCACTTACTGATGTTGAATGGCATAACAGACATGGAGGTGGAACTTTGTGTGACAGAGGCAGAAGGCGCTTGAGTCTGGGCCTCCAGCTCAAGTTTGCGCAGCTGTATAGCTTTCTCTGCCTCTATTTCCAGCCTCCTGATCTCAAGTTCCAGCTGAGCTTTTCTGTCCTGGGCCTTTTCCTCAGCCTCCATCTGCAGACGTGCCAACCGCACCTTCAAACGAGCTCCATCTCGTCCTTCTGAGCTCACGGAAGACAGTGGGTCATAGCGAGGGAGTGTACGAGGTGTCTTTCCCCGTTCACTCACTCCTACCTCCACACTAGGACCATCCTTGAGGTCCTCCACAGACAAGGCCTTATGGCTTGGCACTGCAGCAGCCTCAGGCAGATCAGGCTCTTTGATCACACCAGTCTCCATCAACCTGCCCACTACCAGAGCCTTTAGGTCACGTTTAAGGACCCGTTTTGGGACCTGCAGCTTAAAGTGCTCCACAATTTGCAGCAATTCACACTTGCGGCAGCTATGTATAAGCTCAAGGGAGGGGTTAGCTAAAAAGTGCTCCAGATTAAATGATACTGACATGATTGCTGGATACAGACAACCCAAAATGTTCTTTTAATTCTAGACAATCCAGACACAGGGATCCTCCTTAACGAGTTATCCCAGACGAGCCCCCACTTATGTTACGCCCCCAAGGTCTAGGGGTCCAGGGGCAGTAACATAAAATATGTCTGGAGCAAAAGTGTAAAGTAAAAATGATTTATTACAAAATAAAGTTTCACAAAACAATACAATTTAAACCAATTAATGCAAAACAAAAAGGGATTAACAAACTCAAGAATGTCAGGTGCAAATTAAAGTTACAAAATGTCCAAACAAGTCAGTTCAAAGTAAACTCAAAATAAACCAAAAAAGGAAAACAATGCAAAGAAAAACACACACACAAAGGGGAGGCTGCGGGGAACACACAGCCTCCCAAACTCAGGCTTCTAACTCATACTTAACTGGAGCAAAGTCAAAGTAGCTAAACTGAACAAACAAAGACCAAACTAGCTTAAAACCTGCCTAAAGCAGTTGCAACTACCAAAACAAAAGGCAGCAGCTTCACAAAACCTCTTCAAAATAGCTGCCCCACTAGAGGAGTGGATTCAGGAGCCTTTTATAGGGTGCAGGTGGGCCTCATCAACGTCTGATTGGCTTGACAATCCTCTGCTGGTCCAATGGTGTAGCTGCTTTCCTACAGCCAATCAGGAAGGTGGGCTCTCACAGCTGAACCTGCATAACAAAAGGGAGCCTGCACAGCCTCAAGAGGCCAGGGGCCGTAACAGCAGCAATAAATGTGTTGATGAAATCCCTGTTCTTTAGTCAGACTGGAACCAGTCCAGTACTTGGTGTTTTCTGCTGGGTCATGTTTTATTGGTTTTGTCAGAAGCTTCTTGTTTTTGTTTGAAAGACCAAGATGTTTGATGTCAAACAAAGCCGTCAGACAAAGCCATCTACCTTTAAGCTGGAATCGGGCTCCTCTGATCCTCTGAACTCATGATGGAAACCAGCTTTCTGCTTTACAGGACAGTTACTGGAACTGGATCACTGGACTGACTGGTTCTGGTTTCTCTCTCCATAAGTCCAGAAAATGGAAGATTTGGATCTAAAGGAGGACAGAACAGAATCTCCAGGATCCATCAGTCCATCTATGAGGAGTGACCAGTCCAAAGATGATACTCCAGACTTCAATACTGAACCTGGACCATCAGAACCAGAGTAAGAAACCAGTTTCTAACTGGTGGATGTGACTCTGCAGAGACCAACCAGAGCTTAACTTTGATTTCTGATTAGAAACTGATGCAGAAAGACGTGTTTCTTTGTGTTTCTGAAGCTGCAGCAGCTTCCAGGTTCCACAGAGGTCTGGTGTCTGTGGGAGTGGGAACAATAACAGTCATGGTGGGACATTTATAGAAGCACAAGCACTTCCTGTTCCATCATCACATTCAGCCAATCAAAGCGCTCATTTCACTGATATTAACCAGCTGCAGACAGAAGGTCAAAGGTCAGACTGGAGACTAAAGTCTGATAAAACTCTGATATCTTGGTCATAACAAGTGAAATAATCTCCCAAAAGGCTCAAATATTAAATCCTAAAAACACAATTATGTTCCAGATTGACTGTGAGGCTGAATTCACTAAATAAACGTCACTTTGATCCACATCCATCATAAACTGGAACTAACAAAGAAAACTGATTTACCAAGAAACTCAGAAACAAAGAGCTACTTTAGATTAATCAGAGCTAATCAATATATCAGAAAATTATTGGTTATTACAAAATCACTAAACACACTGTGGCTATCATGAACTGCTTGGACTGCAGTAAATATAGATAATTATTGAAGTGAAATCCCTTCAGTCTCTCTGTGCCTCTAGTTTATTTAGTGACTCTTGTTGTTTTATGCAGAATAAAATGTTTTAGAGTGTAAAGTTCTGGTCGGGTTAATCCTTGATGTGAAGGTTGAGGGTTTGATTCCCTTGTCAGACCATTTGCTTCATATCTTCCTCTCCTCTCTCAATCTTCATACCTGTTAAATTACTGTTAAATATCAGCCATTAGTGCCAAAAATGTATTCATATTAATGTTTATTAACTGTTAATCCTCAGTGTAACAGCTGAAAAAACATTTATTTATATTGATTCAGACATTTGGGTCAACTTTGTGGTCCTTGGTACCGGTTCTAAATTCTGATCTCTTCTGTAAATTCATCAGTGAATCCAGATATTTAAAATGTAAAAATGTGAAGATTAATAATATTAGACCTTAGAGATTGGTTATTTTAATAATCGATTTGATTTTCAACACCTTGAACCAATCAGACCAGATTAGCATAACTCAGATGAACCAGACAGGCTGAACAGAACCTGATTTTAATGTCTTTGGTGACAAAGAAACCCAGAAAGAGGTGAGACGAGCAGAACCAGATGGAAATCAGAACCAAGTCCATAAAGGGAACCAGACCACCTGAATAAAACAGGAACTGGGCTCAATAAAGATGGACTGTAACAAAGACTACAACTGCAAACAATAAAAACTACAAAGTGAACAGAACCAAAGTCCAAAGGATCATCATGAAGTCAGATTTAGTCGTAAAAGACGTGAACTTTATATAACTTGTTAGCTCTGCTAGCATGTCCACATAATGCTCTGCTTCAGTATAAAGCTCTTTATAAAGAGCTCAAATCAATGCTAACTGGGTCTGAGCCGTGTTTACTGGTGTTCCACCATTAAAGAAAGATCCAACTTTCTCCACTGGAATCCAGATTAGAGTCAGTTTCTGGTTTCTTTCAGCCTCTGATGGATCAGTTTTCTACTCTGGCTCAGACAGAATAATGATTTCTGTCCCAGAACAGATTTCAGATGGACAAAACAACAAAAGGAAGATCAGTCATGATACCAGATATAATACAATGAAGAACTTAAAACCAGAGATCATCAATGTTCCGAGGTTCTGTTCTGACCCAGTTTCTGGTCCTTAGTTTGTGGTGGATCTTCATGAACATCTTCATCTTCAGTAGGACAGCTTCAGCCTGTTGTTAGTGAATTATTTCACTGATGAAGAAATGTCTTTACTTGTCCAGGGTGAACCCCAGCTCTCGCCCAATTACTGCTGAACATCGGCATCAGTCCCTCTATGACCCTGCAAAGAAAAGCATATTTAGACAATGGATGGATAAATGGAGGGAAGATCTTCCTGGATGGAGGAATAGAAGCAGCTGTGCTCCAGGTGAGACTGAACATCACAGAGTTTCCTCCCATTGCTTCTGACGAACCAGATCATGTCTTTAGTTGAGATTTGGAAATTCGAGGTTTTAAAAGTCTCTTTGTAATCAATTATTTCAACTAAATCTGAGTTTTTCCAGTTGGTGTAAATGGAACGTATGTGTTGGTAACTCTGGCTAACATAGTCCTCATTTAATTTGAGCCGGTTCAGAAAATGGCCATAAAAATTATATGACAAGTGATAAACAGACTATAAACAGATAAAGTTAAGAAAAAAAACATTTAAAAAATCATCAAGAGTCAGCAATGTCATGTTGTTTTATTTGGGTTTAAAATGTAGGAGAGCACCAATCAAGTATTGGTTGATATTAATGTTAAGTTTAACATAGCATAAATAGAGGGTATAATAAAACAAGAAATAAGAGAGAAGTGGTAACAAATTATGGGTTAGCAAATTGCCCAGTTGCCCATATGGTTTATGTGACTTTGCTGAAAAAGACTCTTGTTCTATTTTTATTGGTCATTACACCAGGCCTGTAAGGTTCTGCTTTAAAATTAGAGCTGAAAAACCCAAATGAAGCGGAAGTTGGTTTCAGATTGCAGCATCTAATCTGGAAGATGTCTAAAGGGCTGAATTTAATGTCTGTGTTTCTGTCTGATAACAGAATAACATTTTGTTTCTAAAGATAGATCTGATTGTTTAGCATCACATCCTGTGAAGTCAGAAACCGTACAATGATAACACCTCCAAAGTTCCAGATAGTTTTGTTCCAACTTTATCAATAAAGCAAAATGTTTTTACTACTTCTGTGTTTCAGCAGATGTTGGTCTGCAGGAGGTCCTAGAGGAACATAAGATCAGTCTGAGGAGGAGATGTGAACGTGTGACTGAAGGAAGTGAAACAGGAAGTGATAAAACAGGAAGTAGAACCCTCTTTAACAGGATCTACACTGATCTCTTCATCACAGAGGGACAGAGTGAAGATGTTAACACCCAGCATGAGGTGAAGCAGCTGGATAGAGTTTCCAAGATCCAGAACCTCCATGACTCTCCAATCAGGTGCCAGGACATCTTTAAATCCTTCCCTGACCAACATGGAGCCATTAGAGTGGTTCTGACCAACGGCGTCGCTGGTGTTGGAAAAACCTTCTCAGTGCAGAAGTTCACTCTGGACTGGGCCGAGGGCTTGGAGAACCAGGATGTCAGTGTGGTGGTTCTGCTGTCGTTCAGGGAGCTGAACCTGATCAGAGATCAGCAGCACAGTCTTCTCTCGCTGCTCCATGTTTTCCATCCAACACTCCAGAAGCTCCCAGCAGAGCAGCTGGCTAAATGCAAACTTCTCTTCATCTTTGATGGCCTGGATGAAAACAGACTTTCACTGGACTTCAACAGCAGTCGGCTGGTTTCTGATGTCACACAGACGTCATCAGTCAATGTTCTGCTGACAAACCTCATCAAGGGAAAGCTGCTTCCCTCGGCTCTCATCTGGATAACTACCAGACCTGCAGCGGCCAATCAGATCCCTCCTTCATGTGTTACCAGGGTAACAGAAGTACGAGGTTTCACCGACGCCCAGAAGGAGGAGTACTTCAGGAAGAGGTTCAGTGATGAAGAGCTGTCCAGCAGAATCATCTCCCACATCAAGATCTCCAGGAGCCTCCACATCATGTGTGGAATCCCAGTCTTCTGCTGGATCACTGCTACGGTTCTGGAGAACATGTTGACCTCAGAACAGAGAGGAGAGCTGCCCAAGACCATGACTGACATGTACTCACACTTCCTGCTGGTCCAGACAAAGAGGAAGAAGAACAAGTACCATGGAGGACATGAGACAAGTCCACAGGATCTGATGGAGGCTGACAGGGAAGTTCTTCTGAAGCTGGGGAAACTGGCATTTGAACATCTGGAGAAAGGAAACATCATGTTCTACCAAGAAGACCTGGAGAAGTGTGGTCTGGATGTCACAGAGGCCTCAGTGTACTCAGGAGTTTGTACAGAGATCTTCAAAAGAGAGAATCTGATCTTTCAGAAACCAGTCTACTGCTTTGTTCACCTGAGCATCCAGGAGTTTCTGGCTGCAGTTTACATGTTTCACTGTTTCACCAGCAGGAAGTCAGAGATGATCAAGACGTTCCTGGGAAAAACATACATTGAAACATCTCTAGATGAGTTCATGAAGAAAGTCATGGAGAAATCCCTCAGCAGTAAAAATGGCCACCTGGACCTGTTTGTCCGCTTCCTTCATGGTCTCACTGTGGAGTCCAACCAGAGACTCTTAGAAGATCTGCTGGGTCAGACAGAGAACCGTCCAGAAACCATCCAGAGAATCATCACCAACCTGAAGGAGATGAACACTGATAGAATCTCTCCTGACAGAAGCATCAACATCTTCTACTGTCTGGTGGAGATGAACGACGTCTCATTTTATCAGGAGATCCAACGGCTGCTGGATTCAGGGAAGAAACTCTCAGTGACTGACTGTTCAGCTCTGGCCTTCATGCTGCAGATGTCAGAGGTTCTGGATGAGTTGGACCTGGAGAAGTACAACACATCAGCAGGTGGACGACTGAGACTGGTTCCAGCTGTGAGGAACTGCAGAAAGGCTCGGTGAGTCCAGATGTTTTCATTGTGTGAATGCTGATTCAGCACTATTGTCCTCCTGTTTCTTCTTCTTTCTTCAAGTTGATTCTGGATGTTTTTGGCCTTTAACTACTTCCTTCATCCTTTTGGACTATTTCAGCCGTTCAAACATCTAAACATTCAGCTCATCAAGGACAGCTGGAGCTTTTGGTATTTTATACATTTCCAACATGGAAACTTTTCATCAGTTTTTATATTGAAATAAATAGAAAACCTTGAGAACTGTAGAAAATCTATTTTCTCTGAAAGATCCAATCAGCCAGAGACACATTTTAACTTTAAACTCCTCTTCACTCATTGTGCCGCTGCTCCATAATTCACCTTTTAGGATCTTTGGCTGTTTTTATAAAATCATTGTTTAGGTTTGATGGAAACTTTAAAATAAATTCCTGCATTGCTGTGGTAACCAGGGAAACTAATTAGAAACTGTGAACCAACTTTTCCTACTCCCTCTGTAAATGAGACCAAAATGTGGTGATTGTTGTCTGGTTCCAGAAAAAGTCCTAGTTTCTGTCAGATCCTCCCAAAGCTCTGAGAACTCTGCTTCCAGAGCTGGAACCATTTTCCTCATCAACTCTTCATCTGCAGCCTTTGTTGAAGCCATTAGCTGTCCTCCATGAAGACCTGTTAGACATCCCAGCCTCTTTAGTTCCTGGAGAACTTTCACTGCTTCACCATGAAGATGCTGCTGGACCCAAACGCTCCGTCTCCTCCAGGGGTTTTGCTCTTCAGCTCTTTAGGAGTTTAGCAACAATTTCTTCTGACATCCAAACCTTTGTTCCTCTGAGACGATGGACAGACCACTGCAGAGACATGTGTCCCTCTTCCAACAAGTTTGTCTCAGTTCCTCTCAGATCAACAGAGAACGGTCTAGACCTGAAGGAGAAGCAGAACCGGTTCAGCTGCTGCTCTGCAGGACGACCAGAACAATCTGCAGCTTTTAGCTGAAGCAGGTTGACGACTGTCCACTTTCTACTTTGTTAAAGCATCAAATCCAGCAGATGAACGGAGACACAACTGGGAGCATCATGTGTCTGGTCTGCTCCCAGTTTCCTCTGTGGCAGCATTTAATAATCTGCTGCTGGGAGCCATGTTTCTATAGAATATACTACTATTATTAATGATGAGGAGGATTCTAGATGCTGCAGCAGCAGATATGGGCTAAACAAACCCAGAGATGCCAGAGGTCCACAGCAGGCTGGACTTCCTGCTCTGCTCACTTCATTTATAACTCACTTCCTGCTTGGTGGAAGATCTCAAGGAGCCAAACGGTCTAGTCCAAGTCAGTGTGAGTCAGAGCTGTGAGCAGTTCCTCCTCCTCTCCATCATCTCCAGTAGTTTCCTTCATTCAGCTCAGTCAGCCTCTTCATCAGCTGCTGCAGCTCCTTTGAGGCTCTGATGCTGCAGAGAAACTGAACTTTCCTTCACAGATGATAGAAGATCTTCAACATCTGACTGAGCTGAAGGTCTGAGGACATGAAGCCTGGACCAGAACCAGAACCAGAACCTGGACTTTAGTCAGGAACTGCACAGACTCTCTGTCGGGTCAAACTCAGTAAACTGAAGATCAGATGTTGATCAGATGATATCGCTGTTATCATATTTTAGTCTGTATATGATCCAGATTGATTTCATTAGAACTGAATTTATTTCTTCTCTCATCACAGACTTGGTGGCTGTTTGATCCAAAAAGCTGAATGTAAAGTTGTGGCCTCAGCTCTGAAGTCCAACCCAGATCTGACTGAACTGGAAATAAGTGAGATCAACATAGGTGGAGGTAGAGACTCTGATATGAAGAATCTGCTCGAGATCCTGGAGAGTTCAGTCAGTAAAGTGAAGAATCTGAGGTTTGTTTTCTCTGCTTATCCAATAAAATCATTTATTGATACTCTTATCCTCAGTTTAATTAATAATTTTATTCTAATATATTTTATTTTAAAACAACCAGCTTAAATGTCAGAATAAAATCTCAAAAACATTTTGAGATTTTATTCTGACAGGTGTGTCTGACAGCTGTCAGCTCCAGCTCCAGGCCCGCACACACACGCAGGGGACCGGACCCGCGCTTACTGGGAATTCCTCGTTGATGGGAAACAATTGCAATCCCCAATCCCTATCACGAGTGGGGTTCAGCGGGGTTTTGGTTTTGTGGAGGACAAGCTCAGAGACTGGGGGTTCGACAAAAGCAACCGACTGCCGCTCGACTCGCCGAGGGCCCACGCGGAGCGAGGAGTCTGAGCATGTGTAGAACCTGTCCTGCACATGTCCAGAGATGGACAGAGAAAGTCCATCTCTGTCAGATGGATGAAATGGTTCCTAGAAACAGGGAAGCTTTCTGGGGACTCGACTGCCTGCTCATATGGAGCTGCAGCTCATGCAGGAGTTTTATGTTGGCAGGAAGCAAAACAACATGGAAGCAGGTGATGAGTTTCCATTTTAGTGTCAATTCCACTGATGGAGCAAATTACAAGTCAGTCGTCCTCCAAACCACTGAGAGCAGCTTCCAGAGGAAATCTGAGTTTGTTCTGATAGTCAGACTATCAAGATGACCCCAGTCTTCTGGCTGAGTTCCTGGACATTAAGGAGACAGAAATAATATAAAGATCATTAATTAACAGTCCTGCAGTAAATACTTTGTGAAGGTTATGGTGTTAAAGTCATTTTGTTCAAACATCTTGATTCAGCTCTTATTTTGTAAGACAGGAAATGAGATCTTACCTTTGTAAAGCTTTGTATGCAACAAGCTTCAGGAGTTCACTGAAATCATTCTCATGTGGTTCACCTGGAAAATAGATTTAAAAATGGCTCATCTTCACAATCACGTTGTTCCTTTATGATGATGTTCCCATTTCTGCAGCGTCTCTGATGAAGGATTCAGAGCTTGAACTAAATGACCCACATCAATTTCACACAGAAAAGGCTCAATATTTTCCAGTTTAGAGAGTTCAGTAACTGAAATTACCACAAAAATGAGAAAATGATCAACTTTCAGAATATGAGCTGTAATGGATATTGTAAAGCACTGAATAAGACAGATTGAAATAAAACGTTTACATCCGTCATACTTAGCAATGAGCTGCAGTTAAAATACAACGAGCAAGAAAAACATCAATAGATTAATGAACAAAAACTGGAGACATAAAATATCTGATGATAAATGATGGTACAGAGCAGTCAGCTGATACAGAGCCTGTAAGGAAACATGGAGAGAAAAAAAAACATCCAACTGAGTTTAAGATCCTGAGAAACTTTTAGAAAAACTTTGAGTTCCTTTTTGATCAAATGTTCTGGTTCTGCTGGTTTGGACTGTTACGCCCCCAAGGTCTAGGGGTCCATGGGCTGCAACATAAAATGTGTCCAGAGCGACAGTGTAAAGTAAAAATGATTACAAAATAAAGTTTCACAAAACAATACAATTTAACCCAATTAATGCAAAACAAAAGGGATTAACAAACTCAAGAATGTCAGGTGCAAATTAAAGTTACAAAAGTCCAAACAAGTCAGTTCAAAGTAAACTCAAAATAAACCACAAAAGGAAAACAACGCAAAGAAAAACACACACACAAAGGGGAGGCTGCGGGGAGCACACAGCCTCCCAAACTGGAGCAAAGTCAAAGTAGCTAAACTGGACAAACAGGAACAAGCAAAGACCAAGCTAGCTTAAAACCTGCCTAAAACGGTTGCAACTACCAAAACAAGAGGAGGCAGCTTCACAAAACCTCTTCAAAATAGCTGCCCCCCTAGAGGAATGGATTCAGGAGCCTTTTATAGGGTGCAGGTGGGCCTCATCAATGTCTGATTGGCTTGGCAATCCTCTGCTGGTCCAATGGTGTAGCTGCTTTCCTACAGCCTCCAGGAAGCCAATCAGGAAGGTGGGCTCTCACAGCTGAACCTGCATAACAAAAGGGAGCCTGCACAGCCTCAAGAGGCCAGGGGCCATAACACTCCCCCCCTTAAATTACAAAACCATGTTTTTTAAATACTTAGTGCAAGAAAAAAAAACAACAAAAGAAGCATACTCACAACCTGGAAAGGCCATCTGCAAGAACATTTTCTGTTCCTTTCTTGTGTCGGATGTTGAGTTTGTATTCTTGTAGCAATAATGCCCACCGCATAAGGCGCCGATTGTGGTTGTACATGCGTGACAGAAATACTAATGGATTATGATCAGTAAATACATCAATCGGCAAACTACTGGACCCAAGGTAAACATGGAAGTGCTGAAGAGCCAACAACAAAGCCAGGGTTTCTTTTTCAATGGTGGAATAATTTAGTTGATGCTTGTTAAACTTTCAGGAGAAGTAGCAAACAGGATGGTCTAAACCCTGCAAATCTTCCTGTATTAGCACCGCACCAGCCCCGACAGCGCTGGCATCCACCTCCAGTTTGAAAGGTCGGGTCAGATCAGGTGCAGCAAGTACTGGGGTGTGGCAAAGAAGAGATTTGGCCCTCTCAAAAGCATCTTGGCATTCATCTGACCAAACAAAGTCAGTCTTTGGGCTAAGTAGATTGGTTAACGGTTGAACTACTGAAGAGAAGTTTCTGCAAAAGTTCCGATAATAGCCAACCATGCCCAGAAATCTACGCAGCTCACGTCGTGTTTTGGCATTGAGGGGATGGACTTGCCCTCGGCCTACCTCTCTCTTCCTAAATATGTTACAGTGGCCTTGCCAAATTCACACTTTGCCAGATTAAGGGTCAAGGAAGCTTGGGCCAAACTATGAAATACTCGATATAGTGTTTGCAAATGTTCCTGCCAGGTTTCAGTATACACCACCAGATCGTCTAAATAAGCACTGCAGTTGGAGATGCCACGCAGTACTATGTTTATCAGCCTCTGAAAAGTAGCAGGAGCATTACACATACCAAATGCCATAACCGTGTACTGCAAAAAGTTATCTGGGGTCACAAAAGCTGAAATGTTGGAAGCCCTTTCAGTCAAGGGGACTTCCCAATAATCCTTGAGAAGATCCAATTTTGTAACATATTTTGCAGCTCCAATATTATCTACACAGTCCTCAATCCTAGGGAGAGGATAGGCATCAGGTACAGTGACAGAGTTTACCTTGCGAAAGTCTGTGATAAAACGTGGTGAACCATCTGACTTGGTCTCTAAGAAAGAGGGTGAGCTCCAGGGACTTTGACTAGGTTTGGCTAGACCATGCTCAAGTAGGTACTCAGTTTCCTGTCTCATTAGAGAACGTTTTGTGGGATTAGCACAGTAAGGATGCTGTTTGATTGGCTTTGCACTTTGAACATCTATGTCATGTTCTAGCACTGTTGTACGTGTTGGTACATCATTGAACAAGCATGTGTACTCACTGATTAGGTCCATTATCTCTTTTTGCTGTTCAGGGGATAAGTGGTCAAGCTGGCTCGCCAGAGATTTTAGTATTTCTGAGTTCGGGAGGCAAGGACTTGAACAGATGGGATAATTCACCCTTAAACTATCAACATTGTCTGACTCATCTACTTCTATTGAAGTTGCAACTACAATTGGGGCGCACACCCTATTAGGTTCTGGAGCAGATCGGGAGTGGTACAACTTAAGCATGTTCACATGGCAGACGCGAGTCTTGCCGCCGATTTGGGGTACCAATGATGTAATCATGCTCCCCTATTCTCTCCAGAACTTCATAAGGCCCATCAAACCTGGCGGATAAAACCGAACCAGGAATAGGTAGAAATGCAACAACCTGATTTCCTACTTGAAAAACTTTTTTGATGGATGTTTTATCATAATGATGCTTCATCCTTCTCTGGGAGTCAGCTAGATGTTTTTTTGCTTGTGCATTAGCTAGCAAAAAAAGCTAGCTAGAACCTGCATAACAAAAGGGAGCCTGCACAGCCTCAAGAGGTCAGGGGCCGTAACATGGACTCTTTAAACCAGTTTGACTGGATCAGATGTTAGAATCAGTTCATCATGTTTATTTTGCGTTCAGGGAAATTAATTTTCTACATTTTTATTATTTATTTGTTCATATTTCAGTTTTTACTGCATCCTGTTGGCTTCAGCTCACATCTTTTATTCTTTATTCAGATTGAATTACTGCAGGTTGTCAGAGACCAGCTGGACTCCTCTGTTCTCAGCTCTGAAGTCCAAACCGACCCATCTGACAGGACTGCACCTGAGCTACAGCAGCCTGGGAGATTCTGGAGTGAAGAAGCTCTGTGGTTTTCTACGGACTGAAGGCTGCAGACTGGATAGATTGTTGTATGTAATTATTATTGTTATATAAAATATGTGAACATAGATATAATTGATCATAAATCAAAATTAATATCTTCTGATCTAATAAATATTTTCTGAGTTTGTTCCTGGACTTGGATCCAGAGTTTAATTTAGTCCCTCTATGCAACTGAGTTGGACCCTCTGATCTCAGGTCAGAACAGGACAGCATTCGGACCGCCAGTGTGTAGAAATCCCCCTCATGTGAAGCAGGTCAAAGGTCATTCAACCCAGTCTAGAAAAGTGAATTCCTGGAATCTGACAGGAACAAATCAATAATCAATGATTGATGCTTCAACACTTTGATCAGAACCTGGAATGATTTTACTGACTAAAATCCTCCAACACAACATGACCCAGTACCAGGTTCTGGTTCTGAAGTCAGCAGGTCTTTATTGAAGCAGCAGCTTGTTGGCTTTAATATTCATGAGAATCTTTAACTGGTTCTGTTGGACTGGTTCACCTGCATCCTGTTGGCTTCAGCTCATCTTTTATTCTTTATTCAGGTTGAGGTTCTGCAGTTTGTCAAAGATCAGCTGTGATTTTCTGGCCTCAGCTCTGAAGTCCAACAGCCTCCATCTGACAGAACTGAACCTGGATGGAAACAACAAGCTGAAGGATTCAGATGTTCAGCAGCTGAAGGATCTTGTAGAGACTTTCTGGTAAGTAAATGATTGTAGTGAGTCCAGCTGCTGTCAGCATATTGAACTAAACCCAGTTAGCATCAAAGCAAAGCTCCAGTGTTCCCAGTAAAGCTGCAGCTTCTTAGTGGGAGGAGAATGGTTCAGGCTTCCTGATTGGACACAGAGACAGCAATCAGCCAATCAGAGAAGCAGCAGCTTGCTGTGTTTCTGTGTTTGTGTTGGTGTGAAGATGAGTGTTGTTGCTGTGTCCATGTCTCCAGGAAGTCCAGCTGGACTCCAACGTCCAGCCGTCCAACATGTCTAGAGACAGTGGTCCTCATTCATCAAACTGTGGCAGCAGCAGATCTGGTCTCAGATCTGCTTGTTCTCTCAGTTAAATAGGAAACAACTGATCAGGTTCATCTTGGTCACAGCTCTGAGATCAGTCTGACTGCAGCCTGGAAACCATCTACTGGATGGAAGCCTCTCCTGACTGCTGCTGGAGAGGCTGGAAACACTCACTGATCTGATCTCTCCATCCTTCTTCTCTCTGCAGGTGGACGTTCTGATCTCTGTAGAGAACGGTCTCTGTGTCCTGCTGATCCTCAGAGGTTGAAGCTGCAGCAGTTCGAGTCTAAAGAGACTCTGACTGGATCACGGTGATGACCTCTGACCTCCAAGATTTTCCTCCTGTTTATTTTCTCATGTCTGTCATTTAGTGTCTGATATTGTTTGTCTCTTTGGATCAATAAAGATCCGATTCAAACTGGGCTCCATTTAGAGGCTTCATGGAGTTTTGATCTGAACTGGATTCAACTGGAAAGTTGATCTTTTTTCTCTCTGATTCATTTTCATCCTGGAACCAGAAATGGTCTGAGATGGAAACATGGGAATCATTTTCAGTTCAGCTTTGAATCATAAAGACACTTCAAACCTCTTTTCTCTGCTGCTTCTTCTTCTGTTGACAGGAAAATGTTCCTCAAAGCTCCACAGATAAAAAGATGCTTTACTGGAAACTGCAGAGAAACTTCAGCTTCCATCACAGAAACCAGTTGAACCAGTTTAGAACTGGATGTCCCACAGGAACTCTGATCTTAGAGCAGTTTTCAGGAACATCCAGCATTTTATCAGAAAAAGGAAAGATTTTCCATTTTTTAAAATCTTTTTATAGTTATTCTAACATTTCTAAATAATGAACTTTTGCATCATAGTCATTGATTCTCGATGTTTTAATATTTCTCAGTTTGTTTTTGGTTGTTTACTTTAACTCCGTATTTCATGTTTTACTTCGAGTTTCCTAGAGAACTTTAGGACTCGATGTGTCACATCAGGCTCTTTACTGTGATTTTACTGATTTATTCAGCCCTCAGAGAATTACTGGGATACTGTGCTGATTTGTTATTTTTTTCATACTTCTTATGTAATCTGGGTTCCTGAGTGTTTGACCAAAGGTTTTTTTTAATCTTCTATGTGTTTTTTCAATGCAGTTTGACTGTGTACACATAGTAAATGCACCTTAATTTTAATCCTCCATGTCGTTTAGCTCATTTCAATTTGTTTTAATTTCACTATTAGTTTTAAAGCGCAACTTAAAGAATCTGGGACAACTTACAATCAAACTGAATGTTCTGGTGTTTAATAAATTAAAAGTGGGGGTGGAAATTAAAAATACACTGTTCAATTCGTATGGAAGAAAATTAGGGCCATCAAAGAAAAAATGAAATAATTCTGATTTCAATCTCAAAATTTTGACTTTTGATCTCAGAAGATTAAAGTAAAATTCTGAGAAAAAAATATCAGAATTTTAAACTTTTTTTTTAAAGATTAAAAAAAAAAAAAAAACATTTATGGTCAAAGAAAACCCGCTGATGGATTGTGCTCTGGTTGCCAAGCCTTGCTGTGAGTAAAACTAAAGTTGCTGAAGCTAATTTTAGATTTTTCTGCAGCTTTAGACATAAGAGGGAAATTATTATTGTTTTAATTTAACAAGATCATTTAAGAAATGCTATACAATATGTTAATATTAACCCTAAAAGTTTCCACTCAGACATCTACTACTGCTTTGGATTAAATTAATTTTCATTCCTTTAGATCAAAACGCTCTTCAGTGTTGACCAGCTTCTCATGAAAGTGTGACAGAACCGCGGTTAAACACTTCAGTTCGATTAAAGTGAAACTGAAACAACAAACGCTAAAGGTTGCACATCAAACTGCTCACCAGCATCATGGAGCAAATACTCAGCAGTTGCTGTTTATTTCGTCTCCAAGGCGTCGTCTCCGTCTTATGATCTCCACCACCTGTTCTGGCTGCCGGCGGCGCCCTGATCAGCTCATGGTGCCGTAAAGTTCTGCCTCCTGGTGCTTCTTATACAGTTCATAAAAAAACTTCACTGGTCTCCCTGTGAACCAAACTGCAAACAAATCAGACGATTCCTTCAGAAACAAACTTTGTAACTGGGCCAGAGTCAGTATTTAAGGAGAGGTATTGGGTTAAAAACTACTTTTTTGAGGGTTATGCTACGTCTGGTTTGTTGATTCGAGTCCTTTGAGAAGTTATGAAGGAACTAAAACACCAAATGTTCTTGAAAAAATTAAACTTGAAGCCTTGTTTGTATAGACAGCCAATTCCTGCCTATTGTCGGCATGTAAAAACAGCCTTTTATTGCTCAGAAGTGTTGAGTGTCCATGGAAACTTTCACAAAGACCTGAAAACCCTTTTTAACTTCAAGCGGCTCTTAAATATCTTAAGCGATGTGATTGTGATGCGGTGAAGGACCCTCCATTCTTTGTTTTGCATTTCAAGCGTTTTGTGGCAGGTCAAGGACGCTGCAGCTCGGCCGTCTGTGGCTCCATCATCACAGAATCAACCATTTGTTTACAGTAATTCAGGGTCTTCACTTTAAAACATTCTTCCTGTTCTGCTGCTTAGAAAATTGGCAATTTTCTGAAGAGTTTTTTGTTTGAGTGAAAAACAAGACAATCAGACAAAGTACTAAAGAAACAAAAGCAATTGCAGCATCGCTCATCAGAAATCAGCAGACTTTGAAGTGGATGTTTCATGGTAAAATACCTCTATGGCAGTTTTTATCAAACTGTGGCGCCCACTAGGCCCTGCATGTAAACAACCACTTATTATCTGTGACTTTAGCTCAAAGTGTGACGCACCGTGTTTAAAATAATAACGGACAAATGGCTTAAGACTAAAAAGAAAGCCTGAAGATACCGGTGGAAAGTTGCATCACTTTTGTTTTCACTGCGATACGTAGCATGGATGCAGAGCTAGGTCTGCTGTGAGCAGTACTGTGCCCCACGCTCACTAACTGCACCTTAACACCTGGAATAAAACTATTCACGTCAGGCCAAAACAAAATGTTTGTTTTTGCCAACGCAACTAGACCAAGATAACTAGACCAAAAACACTTGGTAAGATTTTGAGTTTTTTGAGTGCACAGCAGGTCTTGAAGCTCAGTTCTGATTTGTTAATGAAATATTTTTTTTTCCTTCATACTGCTAATTAAACCCAACCACAGTCAGACTTCTGTGCGACCTGCACATGCAGAACAGGAATACAGACTTCACTGTTTATGGATGGAGCCGTTTATGAATCAATTTTAAAGTTTATTCAGCAGTATCCTCACAAGATCATAACAAGATGAAAGAAGATGGCACAAAGAAAGCATAAAAACAGAAATGGCTCTTTGTGGAGCATTGACTGCAGCTTCTGTAGAGAAGTCTGTTTAGATGCGTAGTCAAAGCAAAGAGTGGAGGGATTGTGAGGTGATGCGCTTCACAGACAGACTTCTCTCATGAGTTCATCATTTTTAGCCACCGTTTATGTCCAGTTTTACCGCATCTGGCTTCTTCTGTTACAAAATCATGACGATGTCTCACGTTGATGAGATAAAAGTCGACTAAAAGGACCGTTCAGACTGCAGACACTTTGAAAACAATCGTGTCCGAATCAGTTGTACATGTGGAAGTGGCGCATGTGATCTGATTTTTTGGGTGAAAAGATCTGAATTGGGCTGTTCAGACTGCTGTGAAGAGGTTTGGATGCGAATGTGTGGCCTTTATGGCCCAATTGGCTCCCACTGATAAATAAACAGCGCCGTCCGTTATGGCTTTCATAAACACTGCTATGTCATGTCAAAGCTCTTCTTCTGCACACGCGGGTCACTTTAACTGTAAATGGGAAGAACTAAAATTAAATCAATTACCACCTGATTGTTGTGAAATGATTTTATCTCGTTTCTTTTCAGTTATTTAAACCAACTGTAAAAAATGTAAAAACTGCGAGTGAATCTCCATGTTTTGATTT